TTTTTTAATAATCAATTAATAAAAAGTCTATTTAATTATTTTTTTTATAATTATTTATAATTTGTTATTACAAATTATTTACAAAGAACGAAATTCAATTCAATTCCAAATTCTACAAACCAAACACACCAAATATTTCAAATTCTTCCAAATCCAAATCCAAATCCCTGTAATTTTAAGTCCTTCCATGAAATCCAAATCCCTAAAAATCATTCTATCAAATCAAACGCCCCCTAAAAATGAAACTACGTCAAGCCCTTCCTTATCTAGGTCATGTATGCGCGTCTCCTAAGATATACGACCCATGTGAGTTATAATGTTCAGTGAGGTCGTGGTTCGTAAGAAAAAAAATACTAAATACTAATATAAGCATTAGAGTTCATAATACTTAATAAAACTGATAACATAAGGAACAAACATTGTACCACGTCATTATAGAGACTACATGTTGTTCGTTGTGCCTACCAGTGCATGCACATATCCTACTGAAATCTCAACATCGGTTCCAATAATACAGAACAAACCCTGACAAATAGTGTACAATACTGAAATATTGGCTTAACAAACATTTACTGAACTGAAACATACTGTCATAGGATAACAATCCATAGGGCATACAATACAACTGCATAAACGAAAGCATGTAACATATAAACATGTAGTGAACCAACACATGCTAGTTGCGTATTCCCCTTATGAACGAGCCATCAAAAACTCATCTAAATTGCCGAATGTGCAAGGAATAAGTGAAACGAGAGAACTATATTGAACCTAGGGGTGAGCATAGGCGGGTACCCGCCCTTTTTGACAGGAACCGGAACCGGAACCGGCGGTTCTTGAGATATTGGAACCGAAACCGGTTAGAGCGGTTCTTGAATTTTTGGAACCGGGAACCGGTTCCGGTTCCGGGTACCCGCTTCCTAAAATATTAAAAATTTGTTATTTAGAAAAAAAAAAAAAAAAACATTGCCAAAACACTAAATAAATAAGCAAGAATACAAATTATACAGAATAATGGTTACAAATATTGATTAACGATTACAAACCATAATAGACTAATAGAAAATGTTCAAAGTTTAACGATTACATACTATGAATCCAAGTAAACATACAATTTGAAAAAATACGAATCATTTTATATGAAGAATTTAGATGAAGATCGAAGATAAAGACGTGCTTTTAAGATGTAAACTTAATATAAATTTGGTATTAAAAAATACCCGGTCAAGAATCAGGGCCTCACAATCACTATTTTATCTTATACAAGTCTTGGCGGCGGGTAACGGTTCCGAAAAATTGAGAACCGGAACCATAACCATTCTCAATCGGTTCCGTATTTTAGGAACCGGAACCACTCATATCGGTTCCGGTTCTGGAACCGGCGGTTCCAAGGCGGTTCCGGTTCTATAGCCGGGTACCCGGTTCCACTGCTCACCCCTAATTGAACCGAGCACCTACACGATGCATTACTGGTTTTGAGTGACTCTACAAAAACGCTAATTGTTGGTACTTAATTTGATTTTTATTGCAATAAAACTATACTCAACATCGGGAAGCCTTTGACCCAACCTTTCTAGAGGTCAATAATTTTGCATTTAAAAAAAACTACACTCTAGAATTAATCTTGTCGAAAAATGCACGTTATGACAATAAAATCCGGCCAACTTACTAACTGTAAGACGTTTAATCACTCGAATGTCACTACTAAAAAAAAGGGCATCACCGACGGATTTTTCTGGCGGAAATTCCGTCGGAAATATTACCGACGGATTACCGACGGATTTCCGACGGATACCAAAAAAGTCAAAAAAAGTCAATTTTTATCCATATCCGCCACAGTTCGGGAAAAAAATTAAAATGATTTAAAACGGGTTTTCAACGGATTTGTGACGGATTTTTTTACTTATTCTAAACCGTCACAAATCCGTCGGAAATCCGTCTCAAAATTTGTCTAATTTATTTAAATCAATTAATTAGTGTTAAGTAAAAACAATTTCCGACGGAAATCCGTCGAAAAAAAATGCTATTTTTATTTTTAAATAAAAGCTGTTTAATATTTTTGAAGAAAATAAAAAAAGTTTACCGACGGATTTCCGACGGAAATTCCGTCGGTAAATCTAATCTCATTTTAGATTACTTCTAATTAACCCGGACAATTACTAACATATTATAAAATTTTCCGACGGATTTCCAACGGACATATCCGTCGGAAAATACAAATCCGTCGGAAATTCCGTCGGAAAAGGCATTTAGCGGCGGGGGTTTTTCCGACGGTAAAATCCGTCGGAAATCCGTCGGAAAACCCGATTTTTTAGTAGTGTGTATCGACAAAATCATTTGATTCATACCGTTAATGATTCTAAACAGACTCCAGTTTTGGGGCATAACCCGAATTTTTATTTACAAATAACACCAGAGATATCTTCAACGATTATACAAATTCCTAGGAATGGCAACAGGCCAGGTATTGGTATCCCCGTCTCCGAAACCGATAGCTAAAACCGTCCTCGTAACCGCCCCGATCCCCGTCGGGGATCTTATCGGGTCCCCGCGGTTTCCCCGATCCCCGTTGGCGAACCCGTTAAGGGTAAAAAATTTCTTTTTCACCGTTGGTTATAACCGAACCCGAAACCAATCTGGAAAAAATTACAATATGCTAATTTTCACAATTAAAAATAAATTACAAATTTTTTAAAGATATAAGTTTAAATGTATCAAACATAATCGAACCAATTACAAACAATGTATTATATTACAATATAAACTAAACAGAAATTCAAACATCATACAATTAAAATCACGATTTTAGACAAATAAATTAGATTTTTTTATGAACTTTATTTGGATTGTTGAAGTAAAGTGAATACAAATCTTTTAAATTTTAATGTTACTATTTTCTTTCAATGATATTATAATATATATATATATATATATATATATATATCGGGCCGGGCAGGGCCGGTGATCACCGTCCCTGCCCCGTTAAAATCCCCAAATTCGTCCTTAATCCCCGCCCCTCCCTGATAAAATGTCCCCGAACCCATCCCAAAAGTTTCGGTTTTCACCATCGGTTTCGGTTTTTTTTTGCCATCCCTGCAAATTCCATTGTCTCTACAACTATTTATTCATGATTTAAGATATTAGTTAATATGTATTTGTTTTACGATTTGACACTTGTTACGTGTCTTTTTAGTTTCACATTGTGAAATTACAAACATCTTTTATATATATATATATAATATTTTGCATCATCATTGTCATTGATGCCTAGCATGCTTTTTTGTAAAGCATTCCTTTATGTTTAATCTTTGTCTTAGTTTTACCATAAAAATTGATGATAAAGTTTGATATTGTTTTGATATGTCAATTGGTGCTTATCCTGATGCTTAAAGCCACAACATCGATCACCCGATCGATCAAGTCAAACGTCGCAATTTCTAAAGTTCGATTCAGTAAAAATCGCTGTTATCGAATTAGTTGTCTTTATGTGATCAGTCACTTGTCTTGTTTACAGATTCTTCAATATTAAGCTTCGTCAAATATCTTGTACACGAGAATATATATGTTCTAATATATATAATGATACTAAACACGACGAATATGTTGTAAAGCACAAGTCTCCTCCAAGAGTTCATTCGAATCAAGGTGTCGAAAATGGAAATCTTTTAGAGTCGAATTCTTAACTCTATGTAGCCCTATTCGAACAAACTCTAATTCGAGATTCTTTGCTTTTTTTTCCGTTAATGAATTAGGGTTTTATATCATGTGATTGCCTATAAATTAAAAGAAAAAGACAAAAATATCCTTCCAGTACAGGTTTTATGTCATGTTATACGTCAGATGTACGAGAAAACTGAGAGAGAAAGAATTTTACAAGAGGGAAATAGTAGTAATTATGAACCCTTAACGGTTGATTAACTGGTAAGCCAATGGGTGTGCTTAATTCGAAGTGTTTGCCGGTTCGAATCCCATTATTAGGGCTACTGTAAGTTTGTCTGACTGTTAACTTCTGATCTAAAATTAGGTTAACTTTTTTTTTCCATGTAACAATACCAACGAAAAAAATATGACTGGATTTTACATGTTTAGGTTAATGATTCAAAATTGCCACATCTAAGTATTCGTAGGCATGTTCATCGGTTGACATCTATTGGATGTGAGGGGAACTGAGCCGATCAAATCAACCATTGGATGTTGGATTTTGTCAACCGACCCAATCCAATGCCATCCAATCCAATCCAATGGATGATTGAATCGGTTCGGTTCCATCCATTGGATACTTTTATTGGATATCCATTAGATATCCAATGAATAATCTGATGGGATTGAATTCATTTAGTGTGTTAATTCAATCAAATTCTCTAACAATGATACAAATTAATTAATCATTTTTAACATGTGTTAAAATCAACACAAGGGAAGTTAAAAATTTAAAGTCTCACATAAAACAAATTCCAATTTAAGCAATTTGAAAACAAATTAAACATGGTTGGATGGACAACTGGATTTTAATCGGATATTGATCGGTTTGGTTTTGGTCGGTTCTAGACTGCCATCCGAGAACCGACCAATCCAAATTAGATGTTGAAATTTTCAATCTAATCCAATTCAATTACAATTGGGTATCCAATTATGGTCAGTCAATTCTAATTGGATCAGCCATTTCCAATTGGATATGTTGATTTTCTACACACTACCTATCTAAGTGATCTTTTATCATAATAATCTAGAAATCTTGTTGATAAAAGTTCACATCGATCAACTCAGATTTAGTTTTCAAGTCTTTTTAAGAAATTCCCGTTCACAGTTACTTACTATTCGACAAACCACGAAAAATGCAGCAACAAACAAACGACAAGTAAAACGTCTATTGTCACGTTTATGTTTTTTAACAGAAAAAAAAATTCACAAATCTAAAAGTTGCATAAATTAAACTTAACACAAATTAAACAACTTATTATTAATAAATATTATTAAATACAACTAATTACAAAAAAAAAAACCATATTTCTTTCTTTAAATGGAAAGGTTATCATTTGCTAACCCTACATCAAACTTGTGTTGGTTGTCTTTCCTTCCAGGCTCACTTTCTACTTTTTCTTCATTGTACTTCTACTACACTACTCCAATATGTGGCTCATATTACTTTATATTTTCAAGAGTTTTTTCGTTATTTTAATTCATCTGATTTAATCAAAATAACGAAAAAGCTCTTCAAAGACCAACCAACGGGTCTGAAGTTTCGTCACATTGCTCTCCGGAACAGCGAAAAGCTGTTTGAGGAGAGAGATGACGAGGTTTTGACATATACTATAAGGAGAAATGATGAAAGTCTAACCGATGTGAGACTGTGAATTCATGGTGAAATGGGTTTATTGGGTTCGTTTATCAGCTCTATCTGAATGTGTTTCCGAAACTTGATGACCAGTAATCGGGTATAGTCTCGGTGGTAACTGGGAATGTACTCGATACTGGCACAAGGCAGAGTCCTCGGCTTCGCAAGTCGTGGTGTTTAGCTCCTTCTGTTGTGTCTTTCACTTTGTGATCGTGAATCTAGGAAACGAGTTCATATGTTAATTAACGAACACCGTTGAATTTGAACAAATAGATATGATATGTGTTTAAGTATCGATCTTACTTGTTGTCGTTGTATGGTAGCTCCGTTTTTCATATAGGGGGCACTTAGAACCTGAAATACGTAACGAAATCAATAGACTTGCTGCGTATGGAATCATAAAATGTGGAAAAGGATTCGAATAAAACCGTACATTGACTTGATCGTGAAGGTGTTTGATGTAATCGATGGCTTCGTGGAGAACCGATGCTGTATCCGTCTGTAAATTTAATTCGTCGTAAGCTCTACCAAAAACTAAATCGTATTCTTCAATACGATATCGAGCTAGAGATTGAATTCTTGAACAAAATAAGTTGAGAAGATCGAACATTTATAAGATTCAAGATATATACCTTTCCGAAAGGCGAAACTAGTTGCTGGAGTGCAGTGACTCGATCTCCGAGTTTCTCTTTTCGAACCTGAAATCGAACGAGACATCGTTAGGGTTTGTATCTACACATCCTCAATTGATCTTCTTGAGAAGATTGAGTGGAAATTCAAGAACACAAAGCAATGCATAACCTTAAAAGTTGGCAATGGCGATGGGGTTTCAAGACGAGGTCGTTTAAACGTAGGGTCACCAGTCGTCTTCTTCACCGATGATCCCATATCCCGGATTTCTTCATTTTGAGACTGAATCCAAATTATAACAACAAATTATTGATGAAACCCTAATCTTGATGAACATGAGTATGCTTATATCATATGCAAAGTTGTTACCTTGAGGTTAGGGCAGTTGGGTTTCTCTTCGTACGTCGTCGATGAAAGATATCGAGACTGAGTCGAAGCGAAAAAACCTGCTCGATTATCGTTCGAATCCAAAACCGATGCATTCCAGAAAGGGGTCTTGTTGGCCAAGTGTAAACCTCCAAGAACTTGCTGTTTCGGCTTTACCAAAGAAGAGAATCTGGGCATGCTCGAAACCGGATTGAAATCGTTTAAATTTGCTTCGAAATCGTAAAGTGGTGGCTGCGGTGGCGCTGCTGCCGGTGGTGGTGGTGGTGAAGTACTGTCGAATAAAGTTTGCAGCAAACTTGAAGGGTATCCATATGAAGTACTGACCAAGTTTCCGGTGGAATCACCGGAGTTTGTGAGGAAACTTGAAGTCTGTTGTTGGTCCATCGCAAAACCAGCACAATCTTGGCCGCCGGACGGTAAGTTGTTCAAGATTTCCGGTAGGGTTTGATTGTAACTCCCAGCTTCTTCAGTTCTTCCATTTCTAACAAAGATTTCAATGGAGGGATGGTGATGATGATCAGATTCCTTTTTGGGTTCATATAATTACAAACAAATCTCTGGACCATTTTCGTTGTAGTGGAATTTAAAGTTGAATCAATAATTGAAAAAACAAAGCAAAAGAAACAAAAAGCTATCTTATGCTTACACTAATAAAGCTTGATTCCAATTGGTGGTTGTAGACGGTGGTGAAGCACCACCCATCATCGGAAAGGCGGAATCCGGCGAGATAGCGTTGGCACAGCCACCGGATTTTTGGAAAACCGTCGTGGAGTCATGATCGGAAGAGTCTTCAGTTGACCATGTTTTCATGTTCATCAAATCACTTTGCCAACAACCGCCATAGTTTCCGATATATGATGACTGGTTGAAGGTGGCTCTTGGTGAACTCCACCAGCTTCCGCCGCACACCTCCGCCTGAAATTCTTCTGCCATATAAATTTCGCCACCACAATTCCTCTCTTGGCCTTCTGTTGCACAATTAAACACTTGGAAGAAAGTCAGTTGCGTTGTATACATATATATATATGTATATGTATATATATATATATATATACACACACACACACGTAAAGGAAGTATTTACCAAGACGTATTATTATGAGACATCTGAGGAGGTACGGAGAGTGTAAAATACTGGAATCTGGTTGACATTTATAAAGTGACAAATTTAGTCAATAATAAATTGATTTTTAATCTGAAATTTCAAGTTTTTGCATCTTTTTAGATTAAAATTTAATTAAATATTTTTAAATGTATTTTTTTTTTATAATTTTACTTTTAAAATCTATGGTTGCTATAATTCTCATTTTCCCTTTTTGAAATGTAGTAAAAAATATATAATTATTCTTTTGGAAAATTTGATTAAAAGTTATATATATATATATATAAGACAATTTTATTTTATTCCTCCGAATAGAACATGGCCATATGAGTGCCAAAGTCACTGAATGGGTAAGTCGCCAATCCCTAAAACGGACTATGTAATGCTATGTAAATATAATTAAAAACCTGGAACTCAATGTGACAAATGACGACATATTCATTAGAGATATGGATGTATCATTCATCATGAATGTTGTAACGTATTAATCATATTGTATTTTATGATGAATAAAACGTTTATATTTTTTATGAATGTGTAATTCATGATGAATAATACTTTTATATATAAACATCATAAATGTATATTCATCATAAATGAGTTATTTATGATGAATATTTATCCTGAAAAAGACAACGTTCTTAAGAGGATCTCTCTCTCTCTCTCTCTCTCTCTTTGTATGTGTGTGTGTGTATTTATATATACATATGAAAGGGTTCAAAGAAGAACACTACTTTACTATAGTGAATCACATGTGATAATAAATCAGATACGGACAACCTTTGGCGTGATCCTATGTTGCGGGCTAGGTCGCCTGCACACCAATAGAGTATTATCACATATGATTTTATATGGTAAAAGAGTGTTTTCACGTTTTCACGAAATGAAGATGTTCTCATTTGAATCTTCATTTATGTGTGTGTGTGTCTATATATATATATATATATATATATATATATATATCACAAACTAGCGGCAGGTTCACTTGCGAACCTAACTTTCATCGTGAACCAGGAGACAAACGAAAATGTGCTACATGTCCCATACATTCGCATATTCATCATGAATAGTGTAAACATTCATCATGAATACTGTAGAAAAAAATGCATATTCATTGTTCATGATAAATCAGGATACATGTCATGCTATCATTTACCCCTCCATTCACAACAAAAATTAAATTACCTCTATAGCTAAACTTTAATTTCAACATTCACAATATTAAAAACATTTCATAAATTAAATTAATAACTACTTAAATCCAATAAATACCATCACATAACATCATCATCATCATCATCATCATCATCATCATTAACATTATTATTATTATTATTTATTATTATTATTATTATTATTCAAGAAATTTAAATTAATTAATTATTTTATGTCGAATAAAACCTAACTAAAACATGTTTTTCCAAATAAAATAAATAAAGATATCCCAAATATTTGTATAATAATTAAAAGGTAGGGGAATTTTAAATAGAATTTTATTTCTATTAATTTATTCAATTAAACCTACTTTAATTTTTAAAGATAAAAAGAATTATATTATCAATACTTTTTTATTCTTTTTATATTAAAAAAAAAGTGTGAAAATTTCCAGTTGCTTAAACAAAGGGATGGGTACGATATGGGTGCCACGTCATCATTATTTTTGGGACGAATAATATACCTTTTGTCTTTATTAAATCCTACGGTTGAAATAAAAGTTTTTTTTTTTTAATTTATTTTATATTTAAATTAGCAATTGGAATAAATCATATGTAATTTATACTATATTATAAAGTATTTGATAATAACCCTTAAAAATTATGTTTATGCATGAAGTATTGTTTATTGATGTATATTACTTAAAATTCAAGATTATAAGTAATTGTACGCATGTACAACTTATTAAAGTTACATGTGTGAATTCGTGTAACTAACTGTAAATAAACATAATCAGATGTTGGATAAGTATCTCATTTTTATATATAAAAAATCTAAAATACATTTAGAATAATCATTGAATTTAACAGGATATTAATTATTTATTATCTTTATAAAAGAATTATATTATTAAATTAAATATAAATGACTTCATTATTAAATCTAAATTACATTATAATAAAAAAACTGAATTAAAAAAAATTACACAAAAACCAAGAACTTTTAAATATTTAATTTGATACAAAAATCGATATATTTTTTTCAAAACTTTATGATACATTCAAATTTATATTTTATTCAAATAAATAACAGTATTATCTTTTTTTCAGAACCACATAAAATCGTATTATAACATTGACGGAGACAGAATAAAACGAAACATTAAAATCGAGATGTATCTCGCTGCATTGCATAAGTACCCTTCTAGCTTTTTTAAAGTCAATATATTTTCTTTATTTAAGTTAATTTTATTTTTCATAAAAAGATGATTTTATAAGTTGTTCTCCTAGATTTTTGGTGCTTTATGAAAAAGAAAAATTAGTAAATTAAATTTTAATTAATGGAATAAAATTGTTTTCTTTTCTTTTATTTGATAAATTAATTACGATCTTATAAATTTTGGTTATGAGATACTGATATCGTCAAGAAAATCGTAAAATCGTGTCATTTGCAAAAACCAGAAGAAGGGTTATATACTTTTCGCTACTGTAATATGTCGACATTGTCATTACCTTCGATTTCACAAGTATATATAGCATATATCTGAAATCATACTATAAAGTAACTGATTTCGTATCGGAATTGAGTCGTCTGACTTTTCTTGATATTATTTCGAGAGGGTGCTCGACTCCCTTAGCCGCCGCCAAAAAGGTGAGATCGTGGTTGCACGTAAACGAAGGTTTACGCGATGAAAATATGGAAATCGTTGATGACGGGTTGACCTCTCAAAAAGGGTAAAAGACACGAGGGTTCCTTTCTCTTTTGTGTTGCTTCCATCCACTCCTTGGATCCTTCTTGTTGTCTTCTCATGACATGGGAATTTTCATGGCTCTTTCTGTTGTGAAATTACTAAATTACCCTTTGTGATGCAAATGTCGTAACGAAACCGTTTGTCCTGATGTGAGATTACCAAACTGCCCTTGACAATGAAGATTTTATAACTAGAGAGTTTGTCCTATTACATACAAGTACCAAAGGTTTGTTCATTCTATGATTTAACATGAAACTTAATGCATTTTGTTTTGTCATCACAATGTACAAGTTCTTGTTATAACCACTATGATAAAATTGGGTTTATAGGACGTCCCCAATCTCTAAGCGTCCTGATAGACCGTTTTATAGGAGCAAAATATAAAGCATCATATCTAAAGGCGTTGTAATAAGTTTATATGACGCTTTTGGACGTCTTAACAAGTTTTTAGGACATTTTTAATACAAAGCGTCGCATTAACAACTTTATATGACAGTTTTGAGAAAGCGTCCTATAAACTCAATTTTTCACAGAACACTTGTTTTTATAGGACAGTTTTTCAAATAATTGTCCTATGAAATTGCTAATGGGACGTTTTATATTAAAAATGTTCTAAAAAACTTATTAAGACGGCAAAAAAATGTTATATGAACTTATTACAATGCCATTAGATATGACACTTTATTTTTTTGTTCCTATAAACTAAGTCCAATAAAAAGGTCTATTAAAATGCTTAGAAATTAGGAGCGTTCTATAAACCTGATTTTGTTGCGGTGAACAGATTCAAATATTATAAAGAATTATTAATAATATGACCAATCAAAAGGCTTTTTGGCCTAATGAGACCTAGGAACCCAACTTTCTTACAGATCAAGGGTTCAAGTTTTGTCAAAAGTGAGGAGTATATATATGAGTTTAATTTGTCGTATATAAATTATTATATTTTTCAAAAAAAAGTTTGTATGATCAACAACTGATGTGTTTGTATAACTAGAAGAGTACTCGTGCAATACAGCGAGATATATCTTGATTTTAATATTTCATTTTATTATTTATTTCAGTCAATGTTATAATATGGTCTTATGTGATTTTGAGAAAGTGATGATGTTTTTATTTTTGAATAAAATATAAATTTAAAGATATCATAAAAATTTGACAAAAATATATCGATATTMGTATCAAATTAATTATTTAAAATTCTTTATTTTTTGTGTAATTTCTTAATTCAATTTTTTTATTATAATTCAATTTAGGTTCAATAACGAAATAATTTATATTTGGTTAATAATATAATTTTCTTATAAAAATAATAGTTAATTATTTTATTAAAACTCGATAATTATCCTAATTATATTTTAGATTTTTTATATTTTAAAATGAGATGTTTATCTTTTATTTGATTATGTTTATCCGCAGTTAGTTATACGAATTCAAATATGTTGTACTTATGCATAATTTACTTATAATCTTGAATTTCAAGTAATATGCATCAATATACAGTACTTCATGCATAAAAAATGGTTTTTAAGAGTTTTGTCAATTGCTTTATTTAACAATTAAACGCTTAATGCAATATTTCTTGCATTATACCTTGTTTTTGTATTGGATGCATAATTATTTGTCTTATAAACTTGAAATCCTGTTCAATACTCCAATAATTTTGTTATAGTGCAACGAGTTCTTAGCCATAAACAAAACCCTAATCTCCAAAACTGTGGCCGATTACGTATGCAAACACCGACCACCACGACCACCTCCCATCTCCAACACAAAACAAAACCCCACCACTGTACTGAGCTGCCGCCACCGTTGGCACCACCACCACCGTCGTTTTCGACCCCGTGGTACATGTAAATATTCAACAATGGTGAGTGGGAGACTAAGTGAGGGTCCAGAAAGCATTGCTACATATAATTTACTCTCTCTTTCTTGCTTGTTGTCAATACGATACTC